AAAATATTCCAAAGGAACATTTCACATGTTATTGGGATTCGAACCTAGTGCTTCAAACTGTGCGCTGGTGACATTTGTGACTAACTGCGTCTCAGGAAGTGTCTCTGTCCACACGGCTACCTCCTAGTTTAGTTTTAGTGGGAGTTTTACGGCACTTGCAACACAATCAGGCCATATAAGTGCGGAAGATTAGAGGTGTTACAAGAGAGTAACAAACACAACAAAGAAGGAGGAGAGATAAGGACGATAGACGTTGGATAGGAAAGTAGGGGCAAACCACACCAGAGCAACAGCCAACCACCCATGGCAACCTCCCGCACTACGAGACTGGACACAGGTTTGGGCAGGTGTAGCAGCCCTGACGACAACGTGACACTGTCAGGTCATGGAAGAGGCGGGACCTCCGACTGTAACGTCCACCTCTGACAGCCCCTAACCCAAATTCCTTTTCCCAAGGACGCAACGTCGGAACGAACTGAGCCTCGAACCCCCTAGCCCGCAGTCTCACGATTGAAGGTCCGTAAGCTAGACCACCGACGCCACAATATCACGATTACATGTCCGGTAGCCTAACTACAAGACCACTGACGCCACAGTCTCACGATTACATGTCCGGTAGCCTAACTACAAGACCACTGACCCCTCAGTCTCACGATTACAGATCCAGTAGCCTAACCACTAGACCACTGACGCCACAGTCTCACGATTACAGGTCCAGTAGCCTAACCACTAAACCACTGACGCCACAGTCTCACGATTACAGGTCCAGTAGCCTAACCACTACATCACTGACCCCTCAGTCTCACGATTACAGGTCCCGTAGCCTAACCACTAGACCACTGACCCCTCAGTCTCACGATTACAGGTCCAGTAGCCTAACCACTAGACCACTGACGCCACAGAGGCGGGGTCACTAAGTACACATTTCTGGCGTCATCACACACACATAAAAAGGAAAACGAAAGAAGGAAGATGAAAGTCTGTGATCCAAAACACTTGAGCCTAAAGGAAAAGTGAAAGGACGGGGACGTGAGAATAATGCGGCGGGGAAGGAGGAGGTCCAATGATCATGGAGAAAGACTCCGGTTTGTAAAAGAGAAAGATGAAGTTCGGAGAGTTATGATTATGAAACTCGGGGCTTTCTGAACAGGGTGTGAACAACTGGAGGTTGAATGGGCGATGAAGGAAGATTTAGAGACACGGATGAAAATAAAGGCAAGTGGGACATTTTTTGTCGTCAATGTGAAGGTTAAATGGGCGATGAAGTGATACATGTATTCATAGACAGGGTGGGAAGAATTGAAGTGGGGGAGAGGGGGGTGATTGCTGTTGTCGCTCTTTGCTTCGTAAAGACGTCGTCATTTTTAAGGGTGCGATCTCTCAAGATGTCGCCAGACGGGCGCTAAATGACGAACAGACAAGGAGAACAGACGAGAGAACGCACAAGAAAACAGACAAAAGAACAGGAAAAAGAACAGACCATCAGACAAATTGTATTTCAAAACCAACAGGGATGAACAACCACTTACATAATGTAACGCACGAAGAAGGACCAAAAGCCGGTGAGGAGATTTCTGAAAGCTTTTTGCTGTGGCCTTCTGTTCCTTTACTTGTGAGTGGTGGCGGAGAACATACTAGTTCCCTTAGAGGAGTTAATATCCCTCCTTGTTCCGTTTTTTGTTGTGGTTTTTTTTGTTGTTGTTGGGGGGAGGGGTGTTCTTGGAAGAAGAGAGGGTGCGTTTCTTTTTTTCTTTCTTATTTTCATTTTCTTTCTTTCTTTGTTCCATTTGGGTTTTTGGTTAGTTTAGAGGACATACAAAGGAACTACAATAAAAGCTACGAGACAGTGCCAAACAGTGCCGTTGATATTTGCTTTTCCACGTATCAATGTAAACACCATGCTCGACGGCGTTCTGAAATGAACAGCTTCCCAGAACACGACATAACCTTTCAGATTGTAGAAATACATGTACAAAGTATATTTAAACATTTTTCAAACCGTAGCAGCATTATGTAAATTGTCCAAACTTTACTCATGACGAACTGGAGACTCGCACAATTGTAAGTGATGATGGCGCAGTGGTGTGTGTGTGTGTGTGTGTGTGTGTGTGTGTGTGTGTGTGTGTGTGTGTG